GTCTTCAACCTTGGCAAGTTTAAGCCTTGTGGACTTCAACTCCCAGAATTCCTGGGCTAAGATGACTGGAGGAATTCTGGGAGTTGAAGTCCACAAATCTTAAAGCTGTCAAGGTTGAAGACCCCTGATCTATCATCATCTCTCTCTCTCTCTCCATACCTACCTACTTACCTATCAATCAATCAATCATCTATATATCTATCTACGTATCATCTACGTATCATCTATCACAAGAGTCTTCAACCTTGGCAAGTTTAAGCCTTGTGGACTTCAACTCCCAGAATTCCTGAGCTAACGTGATTGGAAGAGGAATTCTGGGAGTTGAAGTCCACAAGTCTTAAAGCTGTCAAGGTTGAAGATCCCATCATCTATCATCTCTCTCTCTCTCCATACCTACCTACCTATTTACCTATCAATCAATCAATCAATCAATCAATCATCTATATATCTATCTACGTATCATCTACCTATCATCTATCACAAGGCTCTTCAAACTTGGCAAGTTTTACGACTTGTGGACTTCAACTCCCAGAATTCCTGAGCTAACGTGATTGGAGGAAGAGGAATTCTGGGAGTTGAAGTCCACAAGTCTTAAAGCTGTCAAGGTTGAAGACCCCTGCAGTAAACAAATGGTTCTAGCTGTACAGGTAGTTCATTGACTTACGACTGCAAGGGAGCCCAAAATTTAAGAGAGACATTTAATTAAATTAATTTCGCCCCATTGAACAGCCCTTCTTGCCACAGTTGTTAAGACAAATCACTGTACTTATTAAGTGGATGTTAAGTGAATCCGGCATCCCCATAGACTTCGCTTGTCAGGAAAGTCACAAAAAGGGACCACCGAGACACTGCAACCGCCATAAACACGAGTTGATTGCCAAGCATCTGAATGTTGATCATGTGACCACGGGGATGCTGTAACGGTTGTGTGAAAATCGGTCCTAAGTCACTTTTTTCAGCGCCGTTGTAGCTTTGAACGAGTCACTAAATGAACTGTTGTAAGTCGAGGACTACATGTGTTAATTGTGCAATTTAAATTTACCGCAGGTCCTAAAAAATGAAGTGTCTACATTTGAGAGAATGTGGGAAAATGCCATTCCTCACTCCCAAGAGTGGGAATAGAGAATTCTTCTTAGCAGATAATTCACAAACGTTTCCCCACTTAGCTTGCTAGAGTTAAAAAAAAAAAAGGAAAGAAAGCTTAACGTTGAGTTGCAATTGGATTTGGAAACTTCAGAAATGAAGATTTTAAGCTTCCGATTCTCTGCAGTGTAATAACCTTTTTTCTTTTTTTCCTGCTTCTCTTCTTCCTCCCAACCTTAGGTTGGATTTTTTATACACAAAAAGCCCGGGGAAGATGAAAAAGAGGAATAAAACGAGTCGGTCAGACAAAGCCCAAGAGGAAGGAGCATCTGTGGGTGAAAACCCAGAAGGGGAGCTGCGTTTTTCTGTCTCAGCCACCTTAGGACCAGAGGCGTCCAGGCTGCTTCAACAAGAATGGTCTCAAAATCTTACGGCAACGTCTTTGCATTTTAGGGAACAGGAAAGCACGGCCTCCTCTCCCCTTCTGTGTATTTCCATGTACGCCGTCTAAATATCGCCAGAACTGATTTATTCAGGCAGATCCAAAGCCGCATTTGCCTGCAAGATTTGCGTATGGAAGACGACACATAACCACGCATGTGGATTTTAAGCGGGTCGCCCATTTCCCCACATGGAAATCCTTTATTCCAGATGCTTTCACCCCCCCACCCCCCTTTAAGAGGAAGGTCTTAGGGTTCAGTTGGACATTTGTAATGCTGCCCACATCACACCAGAAGCTGCCGCTGGGACTGCCTGTCGGGAACCTTGCTGAATGGGTGTGCCTTCCCAAAATATGGCGTGTTGTTAAATTGGCCCCCTTGCTGTACGCAACGAGAGGCGGTTGTGATGTTTTTCACACAAATTTGGGTATGGCACCCCCCCCTCCTGATCACGATGCCGCTGAATTTCTGAAACATTATTCTAATGAAAACAGGGATTTTATAAATTGGGAAAGTCACTCTGCCTCCTTTTTTTTTAAAAAAGCATTGTGTGGAAGAGGGTTAAGCTCTAGCCACCCAATGCTAGCAAAAGTCAGGGTGGTGGTAACGTGGTCTCCCTCCCCCTTCGACTAAACGGTTGGCTCTCCAAATCCAGAACTCCTAAGAGTTTTAACAAACAACTTGGGAAATCACCGTCTTTGGCTGCCTCAAGCCAAGGCGGCCTAGAACAAGAAGAAACGGGATTGAAGGCAGACATCCTCCTGAGCCACCATCAACACTGAATGAGGAGCCTGTGGCTGGACTCCGACTTCCGTCAACCTCAGCCAACGCACAACAAGGGGAATTGCAGCCTTCCCCATTTCCAGCCAGGGCCTCCAGTTCTCAACGGCAGCCTCTATCCTCCCTGGGCAACCGGTGAAGTCTGCAACCAAATGGAAGGTCTTGGAAGGGGTAGCGGGCAGCTACCTCTGCCAGTTGCTCTGCATCTTTCTGCACTGCATAAAGGAGAGGCTCGTCCTGTAGAGAGAAACCTCCACGGGTAACCAAGACTCGGGGAGAATTGTAGGGCAGTGAAGGATTGTGCAACTTTCTCTGGGTCTTAAGGGGCCCTTTGGCCACAAGCTGTGGGGCTCTTCATGGCCTGGAGGTAACTTGCCTTCCAAGGGCCGAGGCTGCCAGGTGGGCAATTCTAACTGCTCTCTGATTCTGCCTCAAATGGCCCGACAAAGCCTCCAGGAGGCCTTGCCTGCACAGTGGCCAACTTGCCCTACGCATCTCGGTTCAAACGCCCTGCCAAAAATTACCTTCACTGTCTCGTTTCTTAGTAAAGACTTTATTCGATAGCAAAAGGCACACTTTTACAACTGTGAAGCTGCCAACGGATTCTTTCTTTCCTCGTCTGTGTGTGTGGGTTTTGTTTAAAACAATTAATAATAATAATCTTTTCTGCTTTGCAACCTGACCTGGGCTAACTCACCTGCCCCGTCCCACTTTCCTGCCCCTTTGAAGGCGAGACACGGATCCGGCTTTTTAAGGAGAGGGTTTTCCCCCCTGGCTTGGTTGGGGTAGGAAGTTCGGACATGATCGCGAGAGGTTTAAAAGCCGAGGAGAAAAGAATGGCGGAAAGTTGAAGAGAAGGGGAAAGGGGAAGAAGAGAGACAAGCCGTTCTTCCTTTTTAAGCAATGGTATTCGCGTTTTCAATAGGGAAGGATACCTGGCAAAGCCACTTCTACTGTAAGAGACAAATGGAGTCCGTTTGACAGCAAGGAGCAAACTGGACAGGTGGACATTTCAGTTCAAGCAGAGGAATCCAGCCACAGGAACACCTGCCTCGCGCGGAGAAGCGTGGCCCCGTTTGCTTCCACAGAAACCTGGAGTGAGGGGAGGATTGGGGCTGGGTGGGCTTCCCTTCTCCTTTCCCGTCCCCCCCCTTCTGAACCCAAGACCCCAAATGCAGAGAGAGCCCCACCAGCCCCGTCCTTGCAGGCTCCTTCCGGCTCCTTCCGAGCTTTCTGTTTCCTGTCCACGTTACGTGGACAGCCAGCCAGCAATCAGTACAGATATCAGAGGGGGGGGAAAGGTCCACAAACTTTTAATAGACGACACTCCCGCCCCTGCAAGCACTAACGTGGCCTCTCCAGACCGGGAGGTTCCTCGGTGACTGTTTTTCAGAAAGGGGGGGCCCGGGCTTCGGTGGGGAGGGGAGGTGGGTGAAGGCCGCTTGGGCCTGCTTTCTCTCTTCTTGCTACTCGCTTGTGTGGTTTGAGTAATCGTACAATTTACATCCGTAGCCAAGAACGCGGCAGGCTCCTTTGCGTGCCCTTCTCTCTCCCAGCGGCTCCGGGGGGGGAGGCTTCAGAAAGTCCATCGGTCATGCAGGTGGCTTGGGCTGCTAAAGGAGTTGCTCGTGGAGGCCTCCGTGTTCGGGGCTTGCTGAGCAGAGTCCTCCCCGTTCAGACTCTTCCGGCACACGGGACAGGTGTCGTGCTGGCGAAGAAGGAAAATGTGTGTGTGTGTGTGAACGACTGGAACCAAAAACCAAACTCCCCCTGGAGGGAGGATGTTCTCTTCTTGTGGCTTCCAGTGGTTCAGATACAGAGCTGCGGTGGCGCAGTGGTTAGAGTGCACTACTGCTGACTGCCTGCAATTTGGCAGTTCGATCCTGACCAGCTCAAGGTTGACTCAGCCTTCCGTCCTTCCAAGCTGGGTAAAATGAGGACCCAGATTGTTGTGGGGGCAAGAGGCTGACTCTGTAAACTGCTTAGAGAGGGCTGTGAAGCAGGATATAAGTCTAAGTGCTATTGCTATCATCCTTCCTTTCCTCCCTCCCTCCCTCCCTGTCAGAATGCAAAATTGCAGTTTAACACTGCCCACACTCAGGAGTTCGATCCTGACCGGCTCAAGGTGTTGACTCAGCCTTCCAAGGTCGGTAAAATGAGGACCCAGTTTACTGGGGGCAAGAGGCTGACTCTGTAAACCACTTAGAGAGGGCTGGAAAGCACTGTGAAATGGGATATAAGTCTAAGGGCTATTGCTATTTTCCTTCCTTCCTTCCTTCCTTCCTTCCTTCCTTCCTTCCTTCCTTCCTTCCTTCCTTCCTTCCTTCCTTCCTTTCCTTTCCTTTCCTTTCCTTTCCTTTCCTTTCCTTTCCTTCCTTCCTTCCCAGTGCTGTAAAAGCACTGTGAAGTGGTATAAGTGCTATTGCTATTGTCCTTCCTTCCTTCCTTCCTTTCTCCTTTCCTTTCCTTTCCTTACTTCCCTCCCTCTCTCTCCCTCACTCCCTTCTTTGCTTTTTTTCTATCTACCCTCTTTCCCTTTTCCTTCCTCTCTCTCTCCCTCCCTCCCTCCTTGCCTTCCCAGTGGTTAGAATGCAGTATTGCAGGATGACTCTGTCCATAGCCAGGAGTTCAATCCTGACCAGCTCAGGGTTGATTCAGCCTTCCGTCCTTCCGAGGTGGGTAAAATGAGGACCCAGGTTGTTGAGGGGCAAAAGGCTGACTCTGTAAACCACTTAGAGAGGGCTGGAAAGCACTGTGAAATGGGATATAAGTCTAAGGGCTATTGCTATCTTCCTTCCTTCCTTCCTTCCTTCCTTCCTTCCTTCCTTCCTTCCTT